AAAGTGATTTATGCACTCACAACTTTAAGGCCAGTGGCTCACAAAGTAGAATTTTTGCTCACGAGACTCCACAGCGTAGAGGGGGCATTGCCCCCCCCCACTGTTGCCTCCCCCAAGCACCAAGAATATAGAACATCCCTTGCCCCAGACCAAGAGTTCCTATCTATACCTTGTGGCTAATAGCCACTGATGGACCTCTGCTCCATATGTTTCTCCAATCCCCTCTTGAAGCTGTCCATGCTTGTAGCCGCCGCCACCTCCTGTGGCACTGAGTTCCATGTGTGAATCACCACATTTTGCCACGGTTTTCGGTTCCCAAATTGGGGGGCCAGAAAGAAGTCTGCAAAGGAACCGGTTTAAAAACATTTCAGATATTCGTGATAAGTTTGTATCAGGCGCTGCCTCGAAACTAGCAAGGCTTTGTGCTTGGAAGGATAATATTTTTATTTTATTTTACTTCATTCATACCCCCCCCCTGCCTTTCTCCCCAATTGGGACCCAGAGCTGTGAACATCTTTCTCCTCTCATCCATTTTATACTCCTAGCAATGCTCCCTCTAATCTGTGGAGTCCTGTGAACACAAATTCTACTTTGTGAGCTGCTGGCCTTAAAGTTGTGAGCGAGCGATTTGGCTGCTGCATAAATTAGTTTGCTCTGGAGCCCTCCCTTCCTGGGCTAAGACAAAAATGTGTGTGAGCCAGAGGCTAAAAAACTGTGAACTAGCTCGCTCACACTAACTCAGCTTAGAGGGAACCCTTCCAACAACCCGGTAAGGTAGGTCACCCTAAGACTATGTGACTGGCAAAAGGTCAGCCAGCGAGCCTGTGGGGTAGCATGGGGACTCGAACCTGAGTCTCCCAGCTCCATGTTTGACACTAACCATTACACCACACTGGCTCTCCAGCCCGGTAAGGTAGGTCACCCTAAGACTATGTGACTGGCAAAAGGTCAGCCAGCGAGCCTGTGGGGTAGCATGGGGACTCGAACCTGAGTCTCCCAGCTCCATGTTTGACACTAACCATTACACCACACTGGCTCTCCAGCAATCTGTATACCATAAATAATATGTATAATAGTCCTTTATATTTTTAAATTATGCGTTTTAAGTGTTCAGTGCCCTATCACATATCCTCTCCACAGTCACGATAACAGCCCTGTTCGGTAGACCAATATTATCATCCCCATATTTATTTGTTTATGTAGAATATTTCTATGCCACCTCTTCAGAGTCCTGCTTGAGGCAACCTATGATTAAAAACCATAATACTAAAACTTAAGCTGTTGGACATGAGTGCTATAAAAAACTTATCCGTACAACAGAAGCAGGCCATTGAAATGCTGATAAGACAAAACTTGTAATTAAATTAGCAAGTGGGGACTAGGTGACTAGCCCAAGGCCTCCCCGTGAGTCTGCAGCAGAGGAAAAGTTAAGCCTCGCTGTTGCGCTGGAACAGCTCTCACAACTTTAATAAATTAAGTTTATATAAAGCAGGGGGTCCCCTCACCAGAAATGCTCACCTCCATCCCGAAACCGATTCAGGCCAGGTTCCTGCCCCTTCTTCTAGGTGTTTGGTCAGTGTAACATTATTCCCAGCTTGTTGTAGTGGCTAGGAGCGTGAACTCTAATCTGGGAGAACCCCTCGCTGTTGCGCTGGAACAGCTCTCACGACTTTAATAAATTAGGTTTATATAAAGCAGGGATCCTCTCACCAGAAATGCTCAGCTCCATCCGGAAACCGATTCAGGCCAGGTTCCTGTCCCTTCTTCTAGGTGTTTGGTCAGTGTAACATTATTCCCAGCTTGTTGTAGTGGCTAGGAGCGTGGAGAACCGGGTTTGATTCCCCACTCCTCCCCATGCAGCTGCTGATGTGACCTTGGGTCAATGACAAGCTCTTTCACAGCTGTTCTCTCAAGAGCAGTTCTCTCAGAGCTCTCTCAGGCCCACCTACCTCACAGGGTGTCTGCTGTGGGGAGGGGAAGGGAAAGGAGATGGTAAACCGTGTTGCTCTGGAAGGCACATTTTGTTCA